AACAAAAAGGTTGCCGATTATACTGGGCCATGAAACTTAGGGTGTGTTTGTTTATATTATTTATAAATTAATATATCATACTCAAAATCTAACTCAACATATCACATCAACTTTAATTCACTATTCTTCCACTCACATAATTTTAATTAACCATCACTTCATATCATCACTTTCATGCTTTTACATCAAATTAACTAATTATTTTATTTTAAATATTATTTTAATATAAATACAAAATTCCACTAACGACTAACCATACCAACTTTTTTAAAATTAACCATGATTAACCAAAAAGAGTCATTTTGAGTGGATATATTTGTATCTCTATCCTGCATAATGAACCTCGTATAAATTAATGTAATTTCGTTATGCAGGTAAATACATCCACAGTTTCGTCTATTTTCACGCGGGGCATAATCTACCGTGGCCGAGAGCGTGGGCTTCTGATGTGTCACCCGGATACTGATTTGGCAATGGCAAAGCAACTAATGGAGGCTAAGGGAATCAAACAATTGCCCGTCATCAAACGAGCCGAAGATTCTCAACAAGAACGGAAAAAACGCAGGATTACAGCCATACTTTATTATGATTCCATCTGGAATTGTGTAAGGTACCTTTTTAACTTGCTAAGTTTGCAGTATATGGTTTTCGGTCAGTATAGCCTCTCAGGCTTGGGATTCTTATGATATTTTTTTTTTTCCTTTTCTGTGGCTTGTTCAGAGATGAGCTGAATCGTCGAAAATCGGCCATTGTACAACATAAAGATAATGTTTCTGGGGAATGAAAACCATTTCAACATGTGCTTGAAGTTCATGATGATATATTTTTTTGTATATTATTTTAGCGTTACGAAAAATGTCAAATCACATATTTAGGTGGAGATAGCGACGTGAATTGAATTATTGGATGAATTTTCTATTAATCCTTTGCTGTATGAAACTATAAATTCGTATCAGGAAACGCCATTGATGTTTGTGTTGTCCTTTTTCCAGTTTCCAGCGTGTATGGTCTTTGCCTTTGGCAATTGTTGTGTTTGTTAATTTTCAACTGTTGAGTTCCAATTGTGGTACATTGACAAATGATGGCATAAACTGATAAACTTTGACATAATAATATGTCTTAAGATCGTGTTTGTTTACACATTACACTATTTTCAAAATAAACAACCGTTAAACATACAAATCATGTTCGGCTATCCTTTAATGTCAAATTATTGCATGAAAGTAGCTTTATTCTTTTGTTAAGCCATTATACTGAGAATCTTAGGCCAGTATACTGGTTAATTGGACCCCAGAGGCCTACTGCCCTCAGTGGAAGGAGTTTGCAGTTAAATGGAGAAACGATGGGCGAACATGTATAAACTTAATTAAAGAGGATGTTCAAGAACACATACACATTCAATATAATATAAATATTGATTCGGGATACCGTACTTAAGATTGACCATAGGAAGCTACATTCAGCCCAGAGCAGTCGGAACTGTAGGTCAGCAGACTTTGACCTGAGTACGCTACCAGGTAGTTTAATCGCGAAGGATTAAAGGATAAAAGGAATCTTATGATTACCTGATAAAGTGGATGTCCAAGGGAGAGGCAGATTCTAGCACAACAGACTCTCTAACTAAGAAGATGTGGAGAACTTTCTAGGGACTACCTATAAAGGGTAAGACCAATTTGGGTTTTTTTAAGTACTGAACTGAAGTTGCAAAAGAAAAGAATTGATTGTAATGTGTGGTGTCTTGTTTGTGGTGAGGAGAAGGAGGATTTAGAACATATCTTCTTCAACTGCTATAGAGAAAAAATTTGTTGGATATTGGTGGGGATCAACTAGAATATTCTGAAGCTGAAGAATGCATCTTTCAAGAACTGGTGGTTTGAGGAGAAGGTCTTAGAGATACTGGAGAAAGCGGTGCAGCTCAAGATTGATTCTATTTGCTGCTCTGTTGATGACAATGGACTGGCTTCAAGGCTTAAGAATCAGTTGCCCTTCAACAGTGCTTATGGAATCATTGCAGACGACATTAATGCCTTGGCATCTACTTTCATTGTTTGTGATTTTGTTTGTAATCTTTCCTCGTGTATTTCTTGTAAGTCTTTAGCCAACGTGGCTGTGGAGGGGAAGTAAATTTGCTACTTCTCCGGCTGAAGGAGTCCTAGTTGCTTAGGATTGCCTTCATTTGTAGTCATTTGACTACCCGATTGTACTCTATCTTTGAGTTCTTTAAGGAAGTTTCAGTTTGGTTGGGGAAAAAAAAAAGACAACAAAGTTGCAACATAGAATAAGAGTTAAAAATATTTAACTGCAGACATAATAATAAAATTGAGTTATTTATTTACATTCTATAAAGGCTTAATTGCACATAAATTTCTCACTTTTTGTATAATTGCAAATAAAACTCTACCTTTTTAACTTTATTATGTGTTGCAAATTTGTCTCAAAATCATTTTTCGGCCAATGCGTGCTGACGTGTCCGATCAGAAATCTTACGTGGCACGGATGAGGCTTGTGTAGCACTCAACCTTTTAAACTCCACTTAAAAAACTCCCAAAAATCCAAGAACCCTAAATTTGAACCCCTTAACAATTGAAACCCTACAAATGCAAAATAGAACTAAAATTTACTCGTTCTCTTTTGATGAAAGTCACAAAACCGTCAAGTCTCTCGTTTCTATGCTTCATAGAACACTAAAATCGCCTAAAAATCACCTAAAAATCGCCCGCCCTCTATTCAATTTTTCAGAATTTGGAGGGGCGGTAAGCTCGTAAATGTATTCAAAATGTTGGGGGTGAACTTGATTTTTGAGGGTGAAAAATTGCACCATGTAGAAGAGAAGAATCGCTGCATTTTTTTTTTTCAATTGGGGGAGAAGAACTCGATTTTTATGAAGAATGGAGCGAAAAACGTAGTGGTAAAATCCTATTTTTTTAATTGGTACTAAACGCTATTTTTGGTTAATTTGTTGTCATATGATGTGGCAAAAACAAGGTGAGGAGTTTAAAAGGTTGAGTGTCACACAAGCCTTATTAGTGCATTGTAAGATATCTGATCGGACGCCAGGATTAGTCAGAAAATGATTTTAAGACAAATTTCCAATACATAATAAATATTTAGTATTTATTTACAAAGATATAGAAAGGTTTGGTTTTATTTACAATTATACAAAAGTTGAGAATTTTATGTGCAATTAAGCATTGTATACAAACCAAAGGTGGATGCATGGAACTTCCTTTTCTTCCGGCGAAAACCCTAAAAATTATAATACCGGCGGTGGATGCATGTGCTGGTCTTCCAGCTCTCCCGGAGGAAACCTATGATGTTGAAATACCCGCCGCGCGTGGTCTCACTGCAGAGGAAATACCGTCGCCTCGTCACGCCGCTCTGGAGTTCGATCGGCTCGTACGGATCAAAAAGTGTCGAACACCCGAAGGTTCAGCTTCAGACGAGGAATTCGTCGACGTAATCGAACGTCTGTTTATAGCCATTTGCAAGAGGTCCGGCATTGGAAGCACAAAAGTGTCGAACACCCGAAGGTTCAGCTTCAGACGAGGAATTCGTCGACGCAATCGAACGTCTGTTTATAGCCATTTGCAAGAGGTCCGGCATTGGAAGCACCACCAACGATGTGACGGTGGCGAGGTTGGCGGATTTTGAGGAGGCGATGAATGCTAAATTCGCGAGGTTCGAGTCGGAGTTGCGGGGAGAGGTCAAAACCTTGAAGACGGAGATGGAAGGGTTGCGGTCTGAATTTGCCGGGATCAAAGCATTGTTGAATGAGGTGAATCTCAAGATTGCGTCAGCTGCTGGTGAAAACAAGAATGCCTAGTTGAGCGGTTAGTTTTGTGCACTTTATCTATCTTTGCATTTTATGGTTGAATGAGATGAATCTGCGTTACTACTGAAAACAAGAATGCCATTGATTGAGATGTTTGTCGAATTCCCCCTAGCTGAGTGGTTGGTGCACTTTATTTTCTGTTACATTTTATTGTTGAATGAGATGAATATCAAGATAGATCGGTGTCACTTGTGAAAAACAAGAATGCCGCTGATTGAGATGTTTGTCGAATTCCCTCCAGTCGAGTGGTTAGTTCCCACTTTATTTATTTAATGTTTTATTGTTGAATGAGATGAGTATCAAGATTGACCGTACTAATACTGAAAATAAGAATGCAGCTGATTGAGTTGTTTGTTGAATTCCCCATAGTTGAGTGGTTAGTTTCGCTTTGTTAATTTAAAATTTGGGATTATCTCGTGGTTGTTTTCACGTGTTCTGATAGTGGAATCGAACTAATGTTCTGGCAGTTGTAGGCGTGACTCCCGGATAACTATGTTGTCATCCCAAACTTCCTTAGATAATTGTTCTGTAAAGAATGATATCGTTTGTGGTGAACGCTAAATGATTGGGTAGTGTTGTGGTTGATTGTAGAACAGACTTTTCTTCATTTCATTTTGGACCAAAATCAAGTAACACAGAGCAAGGATTGTTCAACATACTCTATTTGCAAATTCTTCTATTTTGCGAGCCAGAAAAAATTCCTTATGCTATGAAATGTCTTTACTTCAATTGATATTGTTTGTTAATGTATGACATTATGCGCATTTATTGAAAAAAGTATGACTGCCTGACAACAACCTTACAGATGGGATATTTATTCGGCGGTTGGAGAAGCAAATGGTTGAGTTCATCTATTAGTAAACGCGAAATCTTGAAAAGCAATTAAAGTTAATTAGTATCAGATTACTATTCCTGTTTAGTTTTATAGGGTAGTACTAGTAGTTTCTCGGCTCTTAAGTTTCTTTCTTTGCTACTAGTTTCTTTGATGTACAATTCTTGTCTTAAAACACTTTGTATTTTTTAATCTCTTTGTTTTTTGTGACACACTTCATGTACATCCTAGCTGTCTAAATCATGAAATTAAAGCACAAATTGCACTTGTATATGTGATTTTCTAATTTATTTGTGGCAAATATCAGTATATATGTGTGAAGTCTATTTTAGTCACTTTCTGCGAAGAGGAGATAAGGTGAGATCACTGAATTAGCTATGGTTATTAGATAAATTGGTCACTTGTATAAAATTTGTCTTGTAATGTTCTGTTATGGTAGAGATTATGCAACTTAAACTGACAGGGTACTATAAATCCGGACTGCATCATTTCAGGTGTTTGTTAGTGTAAATCCGGGCTGCATTATTTCAGGTTTTAGTTTTATTATTCTCTTATTAACCTGGTTAAGGATCTTTTTACAAGTTCATCTGCTATATTTTCTTTTGCAATCCAATATAAGAATCGAACCTTGGTGTTTATGTTTTCAGGTTGGAAGCATCACAAATTGGCACAAGATCAGTCTTAATTGTTGATAAACTTTGAAGTTCAACTCTCAGGAGTACATTTTGTTTTGCCAAGCATCTTTTTTGGAGCCAAAACTTAGAACTCCTGCAAATGTTACATTTGAGTGATGCAAACTTAATTGGCAAGAATAGCTTGGTGGAGAATTAAACTCCGTTTGTGTATGTAAAGTTTAAGCAAATGCTATCTTTTGTTTCTTGCGTTTATGCAAAGTACCGACTTTCTATGATGTGTATTCTAAGGATGTGAGGTCCAAGACCGTTAATTTTGCTATTTGTTGATCATCGAAGATTTGAACCTAGTGCCTTCACCAGATTTGAGCCGTCAGATCACACACACTCATTCATGTGGTTAGTGTTGTGTGTTGATCTAACGACTAAGTGCTCACACCACTAGGTACGAATATTCCATTGATCACATTAGTGAATGCCAAATAATAGATTCACTATTTTATGCATTTTACTCTATCAATCAAGAAATAGCCTATAAAAAGGGGTAATGAATAATATAATGTGAACTACTTTATAGATCTATAAAAACAATTAAATAAAAACGAAGCTACGTATAGTAAAGGAATAGAGCCTCAGTAAAAAATTGGCCGTGGAGAAGGAAAAACAGGGTAAGATCCATAGAGCTCGATGACAAAATATTTGTTTTCAAAAGACAACAATGAACGATATAAATTAGCAATTCCAGACAAATTTCTTATGCATGTCAAACTTCTTAAGCAAATAAGAGAAAAAAGAAAAAGATAAAAAAAGAAGAAGATAAATTTACATCTGTGGTCCAAGTGGCAACCGGCTCATAAGCTGCTGATGATAGGCCAAGGATCCATCTGAACCACCGTCCATCACGGGCTCCACCTTAGGTTCGGTTTTCGGAATAACAAGACCCATATCACTCACGGGCCTCGGCCCATATCCTAAATACGGATTAACTTGCATTGGTGGTAACTTCCCTTGATGATGATGTCCGAAGCCAGCCAAACCCAGGCTGGCAAACCTCTGCTGGCCCAACCCATACCCAAACCCAAACCCCGGGCCCAGTCCCAAGTGCTGAGGCCTGCCAGGGAGCCCAATAGGACCAAGCAAAGGCCTTTCGAATCGGGCCATGGCTGCTGCATGCATTTGAGAAGGAGGTTCGGCCCGTTGGACGTGACCACTTGTGACAGCTGTTGCAGCAGGAGTGTGGTGTTGGTTTGTGGGCCCAGAATTCGCGTGGCTGCTATTGCGGGCGGCAGGAACATCGTGATTGTGCTTGCCCTCATAAGTGGTTATAACTGATTTAAGGTCGTGAGAAGCCCGCTCGACGTGTTTTCGAACGTTACAGCCCGGGCTCGTGCACTTGTAGTAACTCCTGCAAAATGTATAGGGTACTTTTTTCTTCAAAATAACTCTAATACCTTACAAACTTCTAATATAACAAATGAAGTGATAAATTATCTAACCTTGGATTCGGATTCCCTTTCACAACTTTCTGCCCGTATTTGCGCCAGCGGTACCCATCGTCGAGTATATCCACCTCGCTCGTCGTTTGGACCACGACTCTCGGCTCCCTTATTGCCCTCGTGGCCCCACTCACCTCCGAAGCATAAGCCTCGATTCTCCTAAAACAAACCCAAACAAAAGAAGAAAAACTCTATCATATACAACTACAATGAAAACAATAAATAAATATAAGAGAAAAAATGCAATTTTTATCCTGTATATGTTATCAACCATAACTTTTTGGTCCCCTTCGAATTCATGTTTTGAATTTCGTAGCTCATGTTTGCAATAGGGTTACAAAAAGGCCTTTTTTCACAACAAAAAGGTTGCAGTTTCATCCCTTATGTATACTCAGAGGAGCTTTTTGTTATGCAAACATAAGGTACGAAAATCAAAATAGCAAATCGAAGGGGACGAAAAAAAAGTTAGGGTAGTGAAACATACATGACCAATTTTCTCTAAAAATATAAATATAAATATACAAATAAAAGTCGAAAAAAACCTTCTCTTTAGTTCCGACTCTTCTCCTCCTTCGTCATCATAACCACCCAACGACACGCTCCCATGTGTCACACGGTCATCTTCGTTCTCCTCCTCGTTCGAGAAAGTGCACGAACCCTCCACACCTCCTCCATCCGCCTCATATCGGGCCGAGTCTCCTTCTCGGCCCACAACAAGATTCGGCCCATTTTCCCCACACGTTAAAACCTCGGGATTCGGAGGCCAGACAAGGTCGCCGCTTTCCGGCACCGACTCCACCGGCGGCCGGCGGCCGGCGGGAGGCGGCTTCGGGTGGGTGTGGGCCCCTTTGTAGATTATCTCGGTGACGTGGCCCTCGTGGGACCGCTCGACTTTCTTCTTCACGGGGCAGTTCGTGTGGGTGCATTTGTAGTAGCTTCGCGGGTACTCGCTCCCTTTGACCTGCTTTTGACCGTATTTTCGCCAGTTGTAGCCGTCCTCTGCCGGAGTTCCTCCGGCAGAAGTTCCAGCGGAGTTAGGGGCAGTGGGGTCCGCCGCCTCGTCATCGAGTGGCGGGGAAGTGTTCTCCGGCAGCGAGAGGCTGCTGATGCTTTTCTCGGGATGAGTGGAAATTCCTAAACCGGGAAAAGGACCCGAAGAAGAAGAAGCGTGTGCCTGCTCGATCGAGAGAAAAACGGAATATTTTGAAAGGAGTGTTTTTTTAGTGTAATTTTTTTGTTTAATTAACTTTTTAAATGATGTATGCAAAAGTGAATACACACTGAACTGAACTTACTCTGTTGTTGATAGAGTTAAAATTCGGAACTGATTTGGATTCGGCAATGGGTTTGAACACGAATGGCTTGTTATCTTCGAAAGCATTATTCTCCATACACTTGTTATCAGATTCATCAGTCATCATCAATGTCGAGTTTTGATTGTTACCACTCAGAGCAAATGCAAATTTTCCAGTTGTTGGGGATGGCTGAACCTGCACAAGGAACATTTAGATAATCACTAGAACAATTTAATAACATATATAAGAACAATCATGAAGTTACTGTAGTAATATACTCTTAGGGATAACTTTTTATAAATTAACACTTGCAAAAATCCAAAGGCAATTCAAGAAACAAAACAAATGTAACTCCATTTATTTATACTTATCCGATTTAATAAAACTCACCAGCGAATTAGTTAGGAAAACAGGGGAATCGAGCAGAGTAGTCGGGCTAAGACCAGGTGGTATCGTCAAATAAGGAGACCGAACTTTTTCTTCTTTGGAAAGATCACTGTGCCTAATACTTTCCGTATTTAGCCTTGGAGCATTAAACCCGGCTTTTGCAGCCCTTCTCTCCATAAGGCCTCCACCACGTGAGCTCATTTTGGGCTCCGTGAGTGCATTCGAGTCACTTGATCCATCGCATGGTGTGCTAGTTTGGGCTTGAGGTTTTTTCTGATCATACTGTAATTCGGGCTCTTGAAAATAGGGCCTGCTTTTATTTTCGTTGCCGATCATTGATGAAAAAAGGGACCTTGGGCTTGAACTTGGAGGCATCCAATCACCCATGATAGCAACATGATCGTCAAAATCCCCACCTCCCATGATAATTCTTTTTTTTTTCTTTTCTTAAATCTTACAGAAGCCCGAAAACACCTGGAAGACGAAAAAACCAGAAAAAAATAAAATAAAAAGTAATGAATATGATTCTACCTGGTTTCAGTTTTGAGTTTGTCCAAGTACATAAAGAGATAACAATTACACACTGGGAAAATAAAAATAAAATAAACAAAAACAATAACTTTTTATCGTTACAAACACAAAATTTGTTCGTAAATACAAGTCTCAAGAAGCAAATCATTTTGTCATCTAGACTAAAATCTTAGTGATAGATTTTGTAATTATGTCGTGGCACTATTGTGGTTGATATATTTCTGAGTCAATCAGCAAATACTATATTATTCCTACTTGAAAGTAACTCATCAGAGAAAATAAAAACAAGAAAGAAAGAAAGAAAGAAAGAAAATCGGTATTCAGATTTTCTCCACACCTGATAATGACAGGCATTATATCAACTCCATAGGTCCCCAAAGCTAAAGTTGAACATGAAAAAGTAAATCAACTCAACTCCTTCATAAAGTTCAAAATACTCAATTCTTTTAAATCACTAACTCACAAAATCTCTCCAAGAAATAGCTCGATTGAAGCAGGAAAGATGCCTCACAAGAAATAGTTCAATAATATTTGGTCTTCAACATCATTGACAAAAAAAGGAAGTGCAAGCTAAAGCAAATCAACCTACAGAAAGATTGACCAATCATTTGGTACGAAGTAGGCCATTTAGCAATGAGTTCTCAAATACAACAATTAGAAATGAACCTTCAGTTAAACTCAGAATCCTTATTAAATGTCCTAGCTAAACAAAGACTACATATCCATCAAAGGTTCAATCTTTACTGATAACAACAGGCTTCTAATAAACTTTGTTTTCATGATCCCATTGATAACGAGTAGAACCAAATAACTCAATACGGGTCGTTGATGAACCATACCACAAACATATTGCATGCCCTAGCTAAACAAAGACTAGATATCCATTAAAGGTTCAATCTTTACAGACAACACAAACAGAACAACAACTGGAAACAAGAAATTGAAAAAGAAAGACATTCTTCAAACTGTACAACCAAGATCTAACCTAACATATGACAAAAACACAAAAGAAACTTAAACGCATAAACACTCTAAAAAAATGGGAAACATCGGATAGAACATAAAACCAAATAGAAAAAACATGCGCTCATTATCAGCTGGGTTTGACAATAAGGGCACTAACAAACAATGACCCAGAACAAATTCCTCGGAGTAAACAGCAAAAACATGGAATAAATGAAAAAAAAATGGAAAAAAAAAATCAAGAAAGGCTCAGTCATTAGCAAATGATAAGCAGAAATACCTGAATCTTGAAACACCTTTTTTTTATTTTAGTTTCTGCTCATGGATTTTCTTCCCCCATTTTGAATGAGAAAAGAAAACAAAAGTTGGAAAAACAAAATATAAAAATTCTATTTTTCCTCCCAACAGAAAGAGCAAAAACAGAATCACCACACCACACCTTCCCCTTTTTTCCTCAATTTCTCTATTTCTACTCGCCTCCTGTGCGTGTCCCTCTCTAAAATTTGTTCAGCAGTTAGCAATAATTCCGATTTTTGATAAGATTTTCACGAGAAAATAGAAAAAACAGACACACAAAAAAGAAAAAGGCTGAAAAATCTACATTCAAACGAAAGCCAAAACCAGCAAAAATGGGTAAAAAGGGATTTGGGGTTTGTTAGGAAGTTGCGGTCTTTTTTTGGTTTTCTTTTTTTTCGGAAATAAAGCATATTATTAATAAAATAATTACTCAACAAATGCTTTTTAATAATTTGCCTTTTTATACTGTTGGCACCGTATAGTGTAATGATAATATTAAATTTACGGTCGCGGGGCCCATTTTGGGAATTTAATGTGTTTGACCAGCCAATTACGTTGCGCCACTTGGCATGCGAACTTTTGACTGACTAAAACGAAAGCGATTAAACAGGGCGCGGGGAGAGTTGTTTTAAATGAATTGAGTCCAATAATTAGGGAGTTATTTCCAATAATTCCTTTTGGTAACTGGCAACAAAATTTACAGCATAATTATGATCTACAATTTTATTTTTTTATAAATACAAATTTAGGCGTTCATTAAACGACGTGTAACGGGAAGATTTTTGGGTGGTCAAATGTGTCATAAGAGAATTATTGCCTTTTCGCACTTAGTTACTCACAATTTTTTCGCACGAGGGAATTATAGCAATTTCGCAGTTATTTAAATGTAGGTATGAATGAGATTGTTTAATATACATTTGGCCTTGTTTGGATAATGGCGTTTTGGCCAATTTTTGGGGTTTTGACCAAAGTTAGCTTGTTTGATAATTTGATCAGCTAAAAACATATGTTTGGTAAAATAGATTATTTGTTCAGTGTTTTCATCTAAAACGCTAAAGTTAGAAAATGCTGCTCCATGTAGCGTTTAAGAATAGCTTTTTTTATAAATGAGCATGCAATTAAAAATGTTGGACAGTGGATTATTGTTTAAAATGTCCGGACACTACTATTTGAGCCTTCATTTTTTTTTCTTTTTCTTTTTATATTTTTCTGTGGAGTATAAAGTATTCATTCTTTTCTATTTGTAAATAATAATATTGTAGCATGAAAATATGTCATTATGTAGTTACTGTTTGACTCTTCATTTCAAATATTCAAGGCAGAAAAACTATATTTCTGCTATTATATTATTATTAACTAATTTTGAATATTTTTAAATATGTAAATAATGTATAATTTAAGGTGTTTATGCTTATAACTTAAAAAATATATTAAAGTGTATTACAAACAGTTTTATATGTTAATAGCTAACAACAAACATCTAATTTTGTCAAACATATTTTTATAATCCGCTAATATAATCAGCTAGTCAAAACAGTTAATACTATCAGCTGGTCAAAACAGTTAATACAATCCGCTGATCGCTAACAGCTAACAACTGATTGCCAAACAAGACCATTGTATATAATATATATTTACCGAATATGGATTTCGCAATTATTTAATTACAGGTATGAGATTATGTAATTTACGTCATATATATTTACTTTATGTTGTGAAAATATATGTTTTATTATTGTTAGAGTAACGTTTGAGTAGTTTACTAGTATGAAATTTGTGTATTACACAAGTGTTGGAAAGAATTTGTATTTTAAACATAATTATAACAAATAATGAAGAACTAATAGAGTGATAACTATCTAAAAACCAAACGTGTTAACCCTCAAATTGTCAAAAAAGATAATCGTTTAAATTATATTTGTAAAATTATATATGTCTAACACAAATATTATTCACAACTCTCCTAATTTGATGTTAGAATTTTTAAAATTCTTTCCTAACAGGACTATATGTGATAAGGATGTCAAACTGAAGAACATCAAAAGATGATTAATTTAGTAAATCATATATGAAACGGAACGCAAATAAAAATATGTTACTAACTTCTAAAATATGATAAAAAAAAATATTGTAGTTAATAAATAAAATAAATAAGAATCAACAATATCATTTTTGTATGGGTTATATAGGATTTGGAAAAGAGAAAATTTGACAAAAACAAATGTATACTTATGAAAATTGCAAATAAAATTTTTTTGTCCAATATAAAACTTGATTCCAAAACATTACAATGGTTACGCAAACGAAATTACGAATCACAACATTTTGTCATGTCTGCATCCGTAAAGTGGAAACATGTAACTTAATCTCAACATATTTTGAATTAATATATAGAAAATATATATATTAAAAAATGTATAATGGCATAACCTATTAACCGGTATGTTATTTAATATGTATTGTGTAGGTATTAATTGATTTTTTTTTTATTTCTTTCCTTTGTATTTCTTTTTGAAGCATGATGTTGATAAACGAAATTTGTCAACCTAAGTTGAACCCACAAAGATAGTCATGATGTAATCACTACAAGATTATACCTTCGGGGCCACGATTTCAAGAAGCACTCCTGCCAAGACGAAAGACGCCGACTTTGTAGACTTCCTATAGACATCGGCCTCGTTCTCAACTACGAAGCAATCACGCGGACATCTATCAGAAGCAATACCTCTCTTTGTTGCCGATCCCAGTCCACCCGAGCTCAACCCTAAACTAATGTGAAAAGAGTTGCCGCCTAGAATCGGTTCCCACTACCCAAAAGGATAAGTCAGTTGCCCAAGTAGCAAGTTGATTGCAAGTAATTGCCGAGACACATGTCACCTTGCATGCCGCTAACTGTTCAGACGCTACCACGCGTTCCCAATATATTATATTTTAGAGACATCTCCTTCTATATATAGAGGAGTTCAGACGCTCTAATTGAAATCAGTATTTTTAGCCATTAGTTTCGACATCAATTTCTATTATATACAAGTTCCTTCGTTGTTAACCATTCATGTTTTTTCAAATATTTCCAGCAAATCCCTAGTTTTCCATGCATTTGAAAGGCTCATTTACAAAAGAGGCCCAGAGTGGCATATCCTATATATAAAATTGACAGGCACTTTTTTTTCGTTAAAATAGTCTCGATTATCCTTGCTCATTTCGTTAATCTCACCCTAACACTTAAATATTGTTTAATTAACATACAACCGCTTCGGTGGACCAACAAATGTCAACAAAATGGCGCTAGAAGGAGGGATCCGTCGTACATCTGAAACCTTCAATGATTTATGGTGTCGTTTGGATGAACCATCACACAACACTTTTTATCTTGTTACTCTGCCCGAAGGGGAGGGCGGCAAAGCCGACCCTCAAACCTCCCATCCTCCATTCTTCCCAGATCCGCGATCATCTTGGTCGATCATGAAATCTTCATTTCTCCCGATACTCTATCTAGACAAACACCCCAATGGACATTTCTTTCATAGAACCTTACTTTTTACCCCGTTATAATGTCCGATGTAAAACTCAAAACACTCTTTCTCAACCTTTTATTAGTCCATCTTCAACAAGACTATGGGTTGATTAGTTCATCCTCAATAAGAACATTGTTGTGGAAGGACTGATCGATCCATAACAATAATAGCTACTTTGTAGCCAGATGATCTAAGAGTAGATTTTGGGAGTTTTCTTATTGATGACTCCTTCATGGTTCTACCCTTGGATTGCAAACATTTTTTACTCGGGCATCAACATAAATCTTCAGGTGGTCAAGATCTTGTTCTTGATCATGAATATCTGGAGAACCAACTACCGCTTGATAGGGAGACACATCAACAAACCATCTCTACTATTAAGGCCATGAAGGACCCCGGCGGCGCCTCCACGACCAGCCTCATTTGATGCTTTTCGATGTTCGACGGCTAGGATGAAGCGCCTCACACAAAAGTTCCAATAAAAATATTCTTGCCTATTTTTGTCCCAAGCGCATATCATGTCTTTGAGGACGAAGGCTATTACCTCATCCTCATCAGAGCGCAGCGACGAAGAAAAAGGTCGAAGTGGGACCTAATCTGATGCAGCTGCTTTCTGTGAACTAGCTTTCCCCGTTCACGTGACTATCGAGGTAGCCAACGGGGGGGCCTCGCGTGCTCCACACTAGACTTTCTCCACGGAGGTTCTCTGCCACTGGTACGAGCCTCCGATACTTCCGCTACTGCAGCCCTTGGGCTGGGGCCGGAAAGGAGCCAAAAAAGATGAGCGCCCCTGCGCTTCCCTCTCCCGGACTGAACTTCGCTTTGCTTCGTTTCTAGAGTCTCACTTTGCTCTCCTTATTGAAAACTAAAGCAAGAAGGGATAATTCGTAGATCTTGCTTTTACGAAGAAGCGAAGTGAATTCAGAAGTAGTAAAGGGAGAGGTTTGAAGATGCTCGACTAAAAGGAGAGGTGCTTTAATTAAGCCCCAAATTCTCCTTCGGACCCTAAGCTATCAACCATCTCCCCTTTGCCGATCTTATTAGAGAAAGCTACTTCCGGGAGGAAACTAAATAAATAGCGTAGATAATCACGGCGGAGCGTGACTTCCACTCGCTTAAGCCGAATCACTTTCAATCATTGGAATGAGTTTTTCATTGAAATTTTCGTTGGATGGACGATTCCAAAGGGTAGATTTTCCAACGGGAGTGAAAATAATAATTTCAACGAAAATTCCTATGGTAAAAAGCTATTGAAAATATAGCCATTGGAATTATCAAATTTCATCTAAAATTCCAATGAAAAACACATTCCAATGGAATATTTCCGTTGAAATCATTCCAACGGAAACTCTACTGTTGAAATATCCGTTGGAATTTTCATTGAAATATATTACCATAGGATTTTCTGTTTCATTGGAATATAACAATTTCTTTTGTAGTGAGTATTCTTTTGTAGTGTTTAATGCCAAATAAATATTCCAATTTGAGTTCCAATGAATAAATTTTGGTTGAACAAATAAGAACGGAATATAGTTTGTATCCAAGACTAGTATTACATTATTCAATTTTTCCATCCTAAATCTCATTTATTTTTTTTATTTTTTTAAAAGAGTAAATTAATACTTTCACATTTAATAACAAAAATATTTACTCGCTCACCCATTCATAATATTTGGCAATTTTTATATCGCTAATTTTTTTCCAAAAAAAAATTCTAGATTGTCTCATAAAAGTCAATCGTTTATTATAGAGTTCCCCTCTAGGAACGTGCTACATAGTCACATGATTTGAAAATTAATCATTTGACGAATAAACTAATGAGCGCGTCTTTCATATAATTTGTATATAATACAGTATTTAAAGTTTAAACAGCTAACCGATCACAAGTGCATACGATAAAAATAT